TTCAACTAAGAATCGGATTGCGAGATATACCAAATCCGGCTGATAGTGATTACAGCAGAGCCAAAAGTGTAATCAGACAAAAATCGAACGGATTTTGGACAGGAGCGCTCAGATTCTGCTGCAATCGGAATCTGGGTCACACGATTATCAAAATCCCGCAGATAGTGCCCAGGATGCTGTCCGCGGGGGCCCTGTGTAGTAGATTGAACAAGGTATTTGAGTTACTATCATACCCAAAAATTGACAAGTTGACTATATACGACGATATGCACAGAGGTAGCGATCCGATTGATATCCATGAAGGTACTTCAACCCCGCCGTATCTACCATTGAGCCCGCCTGAGACGGAAAATTGAGCTTTCGCAACGGACATGAGGAGACATACGGGGTGATGTGATATTTTTCACGCTTGGCTTACAAAAAGAAGACAGCTCCAGAGTTGCTGACGAGCGGACGGGCACGTCGCAACCCACAACAGACAGATGACCGTGAAGCGCGCAATCCATGGCATACGGATCTCTAGAGGATCCTTGCAGAGACTCGGCATGTCCGCAGTCATGACGAGTGTGTGTCCCAGGAACTGCGTAAGGCCTGTACCGAGAGGCTTGGCGGAAATCCGCGCGTGGCGGCGTGGCGGCTCGGTCTTGACGACCAACACGGTAGTATCGATGCTCGTCCGGCACAATGACGTCGTTTTCTCTACTCGAAATGCTTGCAAATGTGGCAGAGGGAGACGGTGGAGTGTGCGGCCGGTCGTCATGATGGGGGGACGGAACATCGCCGAACGCCTCGTGGAAGCCAGGCAGCGCAGTGGTGCGCTCGTAGGACTCGGATGATGGGCGCTCTGGAGTATCCCGGCAAGACGGCATGTCCTGTGGCGGAAGGTTCGGGCTTGTGAGGGCGGTCGACACCGGGGAGAGCTCTTCGAAAGTTGTGCCGGGAGAATTGAGTGGCGAGATAGGTGACGAAGCCGTGGTGGGCGTTTCAAGTGCTGCAGCAATACGTCGAGTCGCATCGCGCTTCTTTGGTTGCCTCGCCTTTTTCTTAGCGGTTACGGCAGCTTTCTTCTTCGCGGTGGCGATCTTGGCCCAGTAGCGTGCGTCGGCGACCTCCTTTTCTAACGCTTCCCTCACTGCGGTGAGGTGAACCTGAGGAACACCTGCTGTACTATATTCAGTACAATCTCTGTCCATCCAGACGTAGATGGTGTTGGGGCTCTTTCGTTGCCTATGAGTTAATGCAGGTCTTAGGCCCCGCACACCCTCGCGACGTTCGCGAAGGTTAGACTGTCCGTGGGAGCGCTGTCGATGCTGTGTCACGCTGCGGGCGTGTTTGTTCGTGTAGCCGCAGGCGAAAGTGAACTGACTCTCTGTTAGGAGTATAATTCCGCAGGTAGGAAGCTCCACATCCTTCACATCGCTTCAATTTCGTCAGTACAAGAAACAGGCAGTTTTGACAGAGAGCTTACTGTGAGCTATTACGTTCTGGGCAAGCAGGTAGGTGACAAAGAAGTTGGCTCTGCTGTCCAAAACGATACTCGCAATACGGACACACGTATTCCCGACTGTAGTGCACGTTAGGGCAAGCTTGCAGGATACGTCGACCATATACTCACAGCTCAAAGGGCCGATGTGTATCCGCATGTTTTATCACAGAAGACTTGTTGTTCGCACAACTGCTGCCACATGCGCCACATGTGATCTTCAAACCAGGTGAAAACGAACATGCACGGAGATCGTCAAACGACTTACCCGAGTCGGCCTTGAGGTATCTCGCTTCCTCTCCTCTAGGTCCTGTAGAACCTTGTCTAGCCACACAAGGGCGGTGCTGTGCATTTCGGATGTGTGGTGGCCGCGTGTTCTGGGATCGACGTGCGGCTGGTGCGAGGATCTTCAAGCACGAGATTGTGTCAGATGCATGAGAATGGATGTACTAGACCGGTACTCACTTTATTTTCCCCGACGCCATAGTTCTTTTTGACATTGCTGCGTTGGTACAAAGAGATGGAGACGAGGAGTGGCGAGCAAGGTCGGGGGATATGGCAAGGACCCAAGTGATGGGACCGTTTTTATATCTGAACAAAGGAAGGCCAAACAAAAGTCGAGGAACCATTTGCCTGATCCCGCACCGGTTTGCTGAGTTTCCACCCTGACTCGACAGGTCTGCGATACAAAAAGTTGGTTAGCCACTCCGGTTGCGAAACAGGGAGATTACACATCGTGATCAGGAAGCAGCAAATCTGCCCGATATGTGAGATTCTCGCCCTGGATGTCTCGGAGTCCGAGATGGTTCCACGTACCGCGGATGGCAATCCCTTTGTGTCTCGCCCGATGCAATTAATTAGACGCCCTTCGCAGCCTTCGGCCCCAGTTACCAACAAAATGCGGCTGCATTCGTTGTTCTTCGCCACCAAAAACAACACCCTTGCAGTTATCGTCGCACTGCACATGAATTATTAAGATACTAGCACCTAAGGGAGACGCATCGTTGGTGAAGTACTAGACGCTGATGTTCGCACTAAATTCGCCGCGACTTGGAGACACGTCAAAGTTAGTATCCGGAAGAAAGACGACGTCCGCAAGATACTGGTCTAGTATGATCACAATGCATGATATCGTTAGGATCTCGCATCTTCCCGTTGCCGCCACCGCCAGAGCCGAAGGGAACTCAGCCTGGACTCGACTCGAATAGCCACGACACCGCCGCTCCCGTTTCGCGGCACGGAAGGCATGCTGTGACAAGGCCTCATACAAAGTCCACAGACTTAGGGGCGGACGAGATGATTGGTTATCTGCACCGCGTGTCCCCTATGCTTCTGCCTCGAGCGCGAGTACCTCGATATTCGATTAGTATGTGGCGATGTCGTCCAGGATGTCTAGTGATCCATATGCAACTAGCGCATCCCTTGGCTTTTGGTATTTGGGGCGCGGCAGGTGTAATATAGTGCCACGCGCTTGCGTGCCCGCCCAAGGATGCCGTACCGGCCGTCCGTTCACAAAGAGCCTGCGGTCGAGCCGTTGTCGAGTACAAAGGAACATAGAATACAAGCGCCGCATCTGAGGGGACTTCGACCGTGGCGTTTTGGGGTGATGACACCATCAAGTGTGGGCATGCAGCCCATGTGTGAATAGATCGCGTCCTGTTAGGGAGATATTATGACCTATATGCTGGGGGTGTTCCGTGGCGTCGCACCTACGAGAATCCGATAAACCTTCCAAACCCTCGTCAATGTTCGCAAAACATATGGAAATGCTTGAAACAAGGCGAACAATCTGAACTGAGATACATTGATGACGGACTAGGGCGAACTCACGGTATCAGTGGGGTGAGCGAGATTCGACACGCCGCCAGAGAACTTAAGATGTCCTCGGGCTGAAGCCCGAGCCCTCAAAAAGTGGACTTGTTTTGTAGGGTGAAATAAGAAATCCAGAAAATATTCCAGGTGGAATTGCAGTGCCATTCGGGATACCAGGTGGTCAGATGTGGGCCACTCTCGCATATGGCCGTAGTACGATACCTATGGTGACTCTGAAGAGAGGAATATCTCTTGGTTCTCGCGTTCATCACGGCTGCGTGTCTGCGGCGGCGACTACTCTCAGCCGCAGTCTCCCGGGAAATGGTTACGCAACTCACCCAGACGGTCTCGATCGTGTCATGGCTCGAACACTACCAGCTACTTCCTCTACTCTCTCGTACTGCACATCTTCGGTCTTGCCCCTCCACACGCGATACACCATTGCACGATGAACGACCTGATAACTTGTCTCGTGCATCCATCGACATCCTTAACCGGTGGTGTCAAACAGCATGGCCAACCTACCGCCACCCTCACCATCTCACGCTCTAAAATTCGTTTCGCAAAACGCACTCTTCTACTATCCAACTCAAACCTTTGACAAACACAGCTCTGATGCATACGCGGGATTCGATGGAGTTGGATAACGGAGGCCCACGGCCGCTGGATGGTGCGTCTATGCGCAGTGGCAGTTGATGAGCTGAACGTAATGCCATTTCGATAATCAACAAACCAATGAAATGAACGTGGTCGATCCACTCCTCTGGTCTTCCGTGACCGTTGGTCTTCCATCTCTGGAATCATTACAACCTCTTTTACTATCGTACGTGACCACCTCTAGGAGATAGTCCTTGAAAGAAGTGGCGGTGTCAAGGTCCTTGTGGGTGGCTAGGGCGTCACCAAGCCCGCAAAGCCGAAGGTGACTTCACAACTTTCGAGCCGAGTGGCTCTTCCCCTTTGGATATTCGTCGGGTCGCCTTCGCAGTGTCGTCCCAGTAACAGTACACGAAGATGGACTGCAACGGGATCACTGATAGCGTATCACATAACGAAGGCATCAATGGTTGCGCACCTCTCGCAGTAAGTCGCAACGGATTCACGGGCATCGAGGCTCCTGGTGTATTAACGAGATTGACGAGAATTCTCAGCTCAGATAGGCCATCGGACGGGATTCGACGCTGCGTCCGAGTCCTGTGCCTGCCAAAATTGATCCGCAGGTAGCTCAGAAAGTAAAGGTGGAGTGAAGTTTGATCGTCCGTTGCTCTGTGGTATAGCTTTCAGAATTCTGTGAACCTAGGATGTCAGGTTAAAGCCAGTCTTCGATATCGATAGGCCACTCACCCTTCATCTGGCGACCGCAGAACAGTCGCCTGGTTACTTGGACACAAGAATTAACCATCGAAAGAAACACCAGACTCTTTGCGCATTATTCTGAAACCAGTTGCTAGGCCAAGAGTAATGATGACATAGGCATACCATGACTAGATCACTTGCGCGACTGTATCCGAGTCTATCGAAGTATCATTTATAGGCCTTTCGTACCACATCACGGATGTGCACTAGGAGGATAACCGCACTCAAGTATTGCTGCCAAACTGGAGGCGTAAGTCCGTCGAGGTCGAACGTCTATTGAAGATCAGCAGAGCTGTTGCAGTGCACGGTAGCAGTTCCACTGCTGTCCGCAGAACGGAATTTCTGCAGACATTCTTCTCCTCCTTCTCGCAACATTACACTAAAGGCATTATGGTAGTCGCGCGCCACATGCGTGGACTAGAGAAGTGGGGAAGAAACAACAGCGGCTACGGTCGTGGATGATGGTGAAGATCTGGCATGGCCTCGGAAGGGCGCTTGCGCCAAGCCAATCTCCGTGGCTACCATGACCGTGACTGCGATCGTCTTCGAGTCGCCTTTTGTTCTCCCTCCAGGAACTCGGTGCGCGCCGGCGTCCACAGGTGCACACTTCTGTCCACCTCTTGTCCTCGATCTGTGTCTTTTCTGCTCGCTTTTTAAGACCGGACTCTCGCTGTGGCACTGACATTCACGTTATCCTGTCGACCCTAGCTATCGACAAGCCACGCAGCTGATACGCAGGCTCGCTGCAGTAACTCGAGGTCGCACAGATCACCTTCTATGCTCCTCAGACAGCTCTAATGCGTGAATCACTGACAAAATCTACGGTATCAAGCCCCAGGAAGACCCCTAAGACAGTGCCCGATCAGTCCCTGAGTGCTACGCTGACGGTTATCAGCTCGCTAGCGCATGTTGTGAAGATACGATGTTTGCAGGACGCGCAACACGTTGCATTCGACAAGGCCATTGCAGGACGGTACGATGTTACTAGACTTGCTATAATAATGGTTTGCATGTGTAGCAAGGTTAGTACTATGAGGTACGAGCCAAGACACGAGAAAGCGGATTGCGCTGTAATCGCAGCAGCTCTCTGTACAGGAGAAGCGTGAAGTATGACAGGCGCGTGAGAAATTGTTGACATTCGAGATATTAGAAATATCCGCAGCGAGACTCATCGGCAGTCGCAACGCCAGGTCCAGCTACTCCGCACCCACATCATGCACGTCGTCGCTGAACTTGTCTCTGTGCGACCGCCTGCCTGCATCCCGCGGTGGCGGAGCCTCCGCGTACACTGTGCCCGAGTGAATATCTGGGCGGTACGGCGGGCTGCCGCGCTGAGCCTGAGCCAGCGACAGCGCGTTCTCCAAGCGAGCTCCGTCCAACTCGAGGCGCTCGGCGAGGGCGGCGTCCATAGGCTCGTCGAGCACCCAAGCCTCCTCGTGTATGATACCCGACGGCCGGTATCCCCATGGCGGCGTCGGTACTCGCGGGATGGCAGACGACAATGCGGAAGATGGTGGTCGAGGTGCCTTGGCTGATAAGGCCCTGCAAGTGGATCCCCCGGCCGGAGTCAAAGAGAGGGCATGGCCATAGTCGCAGGACCGCTTGTGTGGACTGCTGAGAGGAGTCGTCTTCGGCGGCGATGGTGGCCGGTGATGGTCGGGCCTCATGCCACTTGATGTCGGCTGCATGCAACGGCCCGTCAAGAGCGAAGCCGGCGATGGTGCTGTGGGCAAATGACTCGTGTACGCTAGTGCTGCGCTACCGCACGACGAGCTGGTGAATCTATTCGAAGCGATACCTATGCGGCGTTCCACATAGCCTTGCTCCGGCTGGTAGATATTGTTCCACCGCTCACTGCTGTCGGTCGTCGCGACCCTAGAGCTCATGGTGTGTCGGCTCGTGTTGTGCTCAGCCAGTTGGGCTGGAGGAGGGGGCCACGAGGTGTTTGGGACCGCGTACATGCTTGTCGACACCCGGTCCCTGTGAGGCCCTGTGGCGCTGGGCGTCACGGCATTTGTTGAGGCCCACTCCTCGGCACGACGCGCAGACCAGTGAGGAGGCGCACTTGTCTCTGACAGGGGGAGGTCCTGAAACTGTCGGGTATCGAGAGTGCTGTGAGACATATGTGCTGGTGGAGGTTCAAGCATAGGAAGAACCACATCCCGGACGGCCATAAATATGGGCGGGGGCGGTCCGAACGCCGGGTCAGGGAAGGTCCAGTCACTTGCAAGGGAAAGGCCCGGGCCACACTCTAAGCAATCGGGCTGCAGCGTCTCTATTGAGGGGATCAGGAGTGGACGCTGCGGCTCATGTAGCTCGAGTTCGAGAGGTATGGGTAGAGTGTAGTACGGACGGTCAGAGCTGAGGGAAGAACTTTCGATGTGGAGGCACGAGTGGATGGGCCTTTTGTGACAAAAGCAGATCGGGACGCACCAGCAGCACGTTTGCAACAATGAATGGTATTGACATCGCCATCTGCGAGATCTGCCGTACGTTGCGTGAATCATGAAAACTACATTGACCATCTTTTCTTGTCAACCGCACAACAGGCCCGTTGTCAGGGACGCCTCTCCAGGGCCGCAAAACAAGCCCTAGATATAGCAGTGGTCGATTTTGATGTCGGGATCTTGGTCGCCGAGACCACTAGGTCCAAAGCCATCTTTCACGGTGCCGTCAAAGGCCCCGCGCTACCCGCCACTCGTTAATGTAGTCTCACAGTGAACCAATCTGAGAGCCTGAGGAGCGCATGAGTTGTGCTCCCTCGCGTTGACTGCGGAGCAAGGGTGCTCACCATTTCCATCGTGGCGAGAGACGTTTGTTATGTCCGCAAGCACCACAACGAGTCTTTCACTCGTCAGATAACAGTACGTTGTTACTCCTATGGCTACTGACGATATTATATCTCTGTCCTGAAACAACCTGGGAGACTCTTTTGTTGCCTCCCGCGCCTGCCAGCCAAGTTTTCGCTACCTCATTCTCGTGTTATATACTTCATAATAATCTGAAGATCTAATTATAACCTATAATATGACGATAATTTGCATCCAAGGAAGCCCGAGACTTCGCAGAGTAGTTTGTACTAGACTACAGTAGTTAGCAGGATCCAAAACATGGAGAAAAACGAGTAATCCAAGATACGGGAAGGTAGATTATACAGTATGGTCGTACTAGTACTATGCATAGCGGGAGCACAAGATTCATAACAAAAAAGAGAAAATAACGATGTCAGTAAAAGGTCCACGACGGAGCATGTCGGCAGCTATGAAGCCCTTCAAAAGTAGTACTTCACGCCGTACTCGTTTTGTCTGGGAACGTCCCGGTGCTACCAGTAGTGCCCGCATCCTGCGGAGCCATATTTCTTTTGGTGAACGTCCTCAGCCACTCTGCTCCGCAGCGAGTATGGGGGTACCATGGCGGCGTGCCGCGCCGTGCTGACGACAGCACTTTATCCAAGCGGATTTCGGCCACTGCAAGACAGGCGGTGAGCGCGGACTCCACAGGATTGTCGAGCGTCCGAGCGTCCCGCCGTATGTCCGCGGATGGCCTGTATCCCCATGGTGGCGTCGGTACACGCGGGATGGTAGGCGGTGATTGCGGTGACAGTGGACCAGGTGCTTCAGTCGGCGACTGTTGGTCCATGTCGGGCTGCAGCCCAGTGTCGCTCATGGATACGTCGTCCGGCTCATGAATACCGTCGCACTGTTCGCTATCAATTTCCATCGGAATATCGGCGCCTACCAAATGTTGGCTGGAGTGGCGTTCAAGCTGCTGGACAGGCGGTTCCTGGATGGTCGGGGAGACACACGAGGTCTCCGACGATTTTTGGGTGCATTCGGCTGCCTGTAATACAGCTGAGGCGGACAGTTCACGGTTTTGATGGGGCTCGGATACTTGAGTGCGAGCGACTGGAGAAGACGACCTTGCCAGAGGCGGAGATCGACTTTGAGGTTCGGAAGCGCTGAGCGGAGACTCGAGAAGTCCAGGCGGAGATTCGATAGCACAGGACGGTGGCTTGGCAGCGCAGGATGATACCTCTGTGACGTTGGCCGGTCCCGGCTTCTCGAGAGGAACGTCAGCGGGGATGGGGTCAGCTTTCTCCGGTAAAGTTTGCGTAGTCACACCTGGAGAAGAAGGTGGCTTGCCATTTTCATCAGAGTGTGTAGAACTGAATCTCTCTGTCAGTGTCGATCGTCAGTCCTGACGGCGACAATGAAACAATCATACAAGACCGCACCTGAAACATTCTCCGTGCCACATGTGGACAGAGTCTTTGTGGTAATGTTAATTTCCGCTTCCCCTTTCTCCACTCCATAGCGTGCAATCAAACGCTTTGCTGCCTCGCTGTGCGGCTTGGGAGGTGTAACTTCGATGACAGGCTGGAACGATCTGAAATGATTATGTCAGACATTATGACTATAAGAGAAACAGTGCGGCATTCACTGACTTTGGTACTGCCATCCCTAATATTCTCAACATATCATCGGGAATTATTGAATGCGTCTTTATGAACTTCTCAAGCTCCAAGTCTTCCTTTGACATCCTCATGATATTCAGATTGAATGTTGAAGCCTTGATCAGCTGTGAGCGCGTAAACTCTCGCGTCTGCTGACCACTGAAGCGTACTGCCTGAACTACACGTTATTTTGCGCGTGCGAAATAGCACGGCGATGCACCCAGGGAGGAGCTGGCAGTGGATGCCTGTGCGAACGCGTCCCAACGTTGGTTCCGAGGCGCGCCATTCACGTGCACCGGTGATGCGCCCGCGTTATGGGTACCATGACAACCGGCATACTCCAGCCGCAATATTTGCGACGCCAAACTCTGAGATGACGACAGTCTGAGAGGTAACTCACATTCTGCAAATATTACAAATCGAATTATCTTACGAAGAAATCGAATTTGCATAGAGGTGTATTACAAGAGTGCAAACTGGCGATACGCATGCTGAGCAAGAGCCAGGGTAGAGTACTGGTCGCAATTATGTCATTCATTGGCACAACTCCTGAAATTGGAGACTGAGAGAGAAGTAAAGGGGGAGAGAGAGAGTAAGCCAGTTGTGTTGCGCAGACAGCAATGATGCGTCATCGGCGATGCTTCGACATCCTGTCCGAATCGAAGCGAGAGTTGCCCGGCCACTTGCCAGACTGCGTGCTGCGTTCAGTTGCCGCTTGACCTGAACGCCCCAGTGCTGAGATTGTCTGAGAAGAGGTATGGACACGCGAATTCCCGATAGACAGGAGGCTGTCCAGTCCAATAACTTCGTCCGAACTCAGGCGACGTTCCGTCCGAGTACACATCGGACTTGCACGTTCAGCAGAGCCCTCTAGTATCCGGTCTCCCCACGGCGCCGTCTGTACATGTAGGTGGACCGGCGTCGATACCGAAGATGCCGGCGGATGCGAGTGGTAAGGCTGTCGGGAAGAGCTAGGGAGCACTAAAGATTCCCGTGTTCGGTCGTGACCTTCGTTGGCGGGTTCTCGCGGTTCGCAGAGAGGTCCAATGGGTGCCGTACGATGTAGCCTAGCCGGCAACGGAGCCTTCGCCGAAGGCGAGGGGTACATATACAGCGGAATGATATTGCCAGTCGACGAAGGGTAGCATGTGTAATCGTATGGTGGGCGTTGTGATGGTGGCGATTGCGAGATGTTCTTGTGTGCCGGGTCCACGTGGTGAGGGATATCAGGGTACGAAGAAGCCTCAAAAGGCATTTTTACAGGTGGTGGCGGAGGCGAGGGGCTCACATAATCTTGGCGTGTCCAGGGCCGGTATGTCGCTGCATCGGCATGGCAAAAATTTGAGTAGCGACCCGCAAATGGCGATAGCATGGATGAATTGACGTCTTGATCGTAGCGGCGCATGTGCTGTTCTCCCGTTGGCGGTACCTCGTATGAGGAGCCTAGGCGGGATTGTGGCGGAGACGTCATCGAGGTTGACGAGTTAGAGCGCCAATGCTTGCCAGTGTAGTACTCGCGCGGAGAAGAGTCCCACGGAGAGTGGTGATCCCAGTCGGCAGGTGAACGAAGTGAGTAAGGAGATGTAACTGGTGGTGGCGCCGTATGTGCTGCTGCTATTCTGTTGCTACTGGGCTGATCTGTATCGAGCCGCCGCCAGCCCAAAGGCGTCGTTGCTGCAGCATGTGGCGGGTCTATAGGAAGCGGTGGCGGAGGCATCAAGCGAGATGGGACAGATTTGAAGCGTCCGAGACGTTGCATCTCTTCTGGCGACTGGAGTATCGGAATAGGGAGTTTGCAAAGCTTTACCGCCGTAGGTAGCGAACTCTGCATACGATCAGAGCTTGACGAGAAGGACATCGAGGGCTCGGCCGGATGATAGGGACCGGCTCTAGATGGGCCGACAAGAGGAGTTGGGACACAATGGTTGGTTTTGACGTTCGTGAGGTCGGTGAAGTAGAGCTCGCTATCATTTGCGAGTTTATCCACTTCCTCGTCATCCTCGTACTCCTCTTCATGCCGCGGCATTGCAACAGTCAACTGCTGTGCCACCAGCGGAAGCACAGGATCTTCTATCATTTGCGCTTCGGAGGCCAGCAAGTCGTCGACGTCTTCAGCGCGGCCGAATACTGCGATGTTGCCGTCGCCTCTGCCGGAAAGGCCCCAGCCGTCGTCCATAGAGCCGTCCCAGGGTTCAATCCAGATTTCTCCGTCCTCCAGGCACGCCAGGGTTTTCTTGGGCCTGAGCTTCTTGGAAGACATGCGAGACTTTTGTAGTGCCTTAATCTCCTCCCGGGTTGGCCGCTGCCGGCTGGGGTGGCCCTCCAAGCGGTGGGTAGACACACTCCCGGGGTCAATGTTCCGCCAGGTGCATACTTCCCCTGTATCTTCATCGATGATGCCACAGTACGTCCTGTCTTCTTCAGGAACTTCATCGAGGCTGACATGCTGCTATTAGCCACTGTCTCACGCGTACAAGGTGGCGATTTACTGACTGTATCAGAAAATGCGTCTCCCGCTCACCCTTCTGAGCAAACCTCCGGGAACAGTCAGGAAATGGACACGGGAACGGTCGACTGCGGGGCATTACTTCAGCTAGGATATGACAGGAGTAACGGAAGGGCTCACAGGTGTTGAGGTAAATGAGCGTAATGGTGTCGCTTGAGATGAGACTCAGCCATTCTGACCAATCTGCGGCATGCCACACACGTAACCTTAGCCCGTAGGTTGAGTAAACAGACGACGCTAGAGAGCTGTTGTCATACCTTCATGGGCTTGGGTTTCTTAAGGCGGCGGAACGCCCGCACTCTACCTATACTGATCTTGCTCCACAGTGCGGCCGCGCGATAGCGCAGCATGCCGCGATATATGCCGTAGTGTGGCAAGTTCGAAACGCGGTCGTACGGCTTCAAAAGTGGCCTGGTCGTACATATGGTTAGTCTTAAATACCGACTATGCAAAGGCGAAGCTTACGCCAAGGGCTTCCTTCTTTGTGTCTGTTTCTGGGTATGCGCCACATTGCTTCCGTAGCTACGTTGGTGGAGGAGTTGAGTGTTGTCGTGGGGCGGACGTGCGCGTCAGGGCGACTGAGGGCGAGAAAGTATGCATGGTTATGTGCGTGGTTATCCACCGGACGAATTTCCCGCCGAGTGGCCTCAGCGTGCCCTGGTTCATGCTCGCCTTCAGACGAAGGCGCGACATTCTGCCCGTCTCGATTACCTTGGGCGGGGCATATTGCTCGAGAACGCTCGCCGTGAGATATTCTGGGCATGGCGCGAGTCTCGACGGGATGAAGCAGAAGGCGACAGCGATGGTGTGAATCGTGCGACGATCGACGAGATGAATCGAATTTCAAGAGTGGGGCAGAGATGGGAGTGAACAAAGGAAGGGAAGCATCGGAATTTATATCCAAGCATTAAACGGTGAGAAAGGAGACTGTTTGATGCGAATCTGCAACGACTCTCATTCAGGGTCCTCGTGTAACCACATCTCGAGGGTATGAATGTGCGCAGCTTCTTGGTTCTCAATTCGCCCGATCCTCCGCCCGGTGGCGGGTAATCTATCCGTTGTCTGCGATGTCTCACCAAGAAACTGCACGTACCATTGTTCTTCCATTTGGAAGCGTTCCACTGCGCCGCGGGGATGTTTTATACTGAGAAGTCAAGTCTTGCGGGTCGGCGATAGCCGTCCCTTCGAGCCACTCGTATGCGTCAATCCCGCACTCCTCCATAAGATTTTCCGGGATCGTCTACAGGAGCGATGGCGTGATAGATGTATAAAAATGATGGGGAATCCCCACCGACTGTTCCTGAGACCCGCGCTGGTCAATGCAACACAAGCACTCGAGAGTGGGTCCCAGAAAGGCAAAGCGCCCACATGAGCAGGTGGAAACAAGGGAGCGTTGTATGCGGACCGGCGTAGGAATTGACAAGATGGCGCCCTACATTATTGTTGTGTTAAGCTGTTGGAGGCTTTGGTAGATATCAGGCCAACTATAACGAACCAAATATTATTGCCCGTGCTCTCATCACACGTAGCCTCGCTGTTGCCTAGCATACACAAATATTGGCGTAATTGCATGCCATTATGGAGGGAAGCGAAGAGGCGGTGGCATTGTGGTCAGTTCCACCGTAAGGAGGAAGCGGTGAAGGGGGGCCAATCGCATCGTAATCAATGAAGGGCACGGACAAAAGAGGGAGTGAAGGACTTGTGGCGATAAATCTAGAACTCCAGAGGCTGTACGACAGTGTTCATCGGGGCCTCCTACGCCAACGCCACGAGGGTGCCTGTCTTGTGGAGCGCTGAGATTCTTAGCCACCACATGCGCTTGATCGGGCAAACAGAACATCCCGTCGGCTGGATGGCGCGTAGACGAAACACCATATAAGCGATAGCTGTACGCTTAGAACGAGCGAAGGGAGCATGCCATGTCGGAAAGCGCTGCTAAAAAGATATGTTCGGTATGAGTGTCAAGGAGTAGCGATAGAACAGAGCCACACCCTTGTCGTGTGGACCTTCATTCGAACCTTGGTCTTCGTGGATGTTATCGAGGGGTATCCGCAGGCTACTCAGTCTTTCGTACCAGAAGAATAGCCTTGAAAGGGCCTGAAAGTAGTACCCCTTAATGGGACATTCCGTCAACAACCCATTCAGCAGGTCACTCACCTTCGCCGTCTTGCCAGCGCCACTCCTTTGTCACACGCTCACCGTCGCAACAATGATTTAGCTCTTTCTTTTGACGTGGATTAGGGCGCGCCCGTGACATCATCGATTTAGCTTCTTTTAACGTGAGTTCGACGGTTGTCTCCATATTTGAACGAGATGTGACTTTTATCTGAGTTTTCCATATAGGATGAGATGAAGGCTGAGCACGACCCACGAACATCATCCGCTTCAGTGTCTTTGCATGATAGGACTCTCTTAGGAGGCACCATTGAAGGGTCGGTGGCGTAGTTGGTTATCGCATCTGTCTAACACACAGAAGGTCCTCAGTTCGAGCCTGGGCCGACTCATTTTTTTTTCTCCTCAACGTCTCAATTTGCAATTTTGCAGTCTCCACTGCTCCAGCCTCCCATAGCGTCCCAAGTATTTCTCACTCTCATTCTCTCGAAAGTCGAGTGATATTCTCAAGATTTCAAGTTGGACGATTGTTGAGGCGACTAAGCAGTTATGATGAGACCACTAGACGACATGCCGCTGTTCTACGACGACTGGAGGTGCTGGTATAACATGCAACCTCAAGCAGAGTGCAGTACCGATGTGTTCACGAAGAGAGTCAGCGGTCGAACTCTAGTTTTCCAGCATGTAGGCTTGGGCTTTGGGCAGCCGCGGTGGTGGGCCCAGTACATGATCAGGCAACAGACATGTGTAGCACAATATACCCAGACCTTATGCTGAGCGATGTTGGTGATACCTATTCAGTGTAAAGTATACATGTACACGCAATAAACGAATAACTTCTGGCTGTATTTTCTTATGCAACGCCCCGTATTGACATTCACGTTTCTAGGGCGGCAGTCTGTGGTGTTTGTTTTCTCGGGATGCTTTCAGCCTCATCGACGCGTGCGGCAGGCGACGAGGAAGCGTAAAGCATGCCAAGAAAAATTAACATGCTAGATGACGAATTCGTGTCTACGACGGAGGGTAGTCGCTGTAAATGTGTCTGGATAGATAATTTGATAGTACAGTCTAACACGGGTTATCTTACTCAGAGCGTTGGCTGCCGACAACCCGTCCCGTGTACAGCTAGCCGATAGGTCATTCAGACGTGAGGTTGAATAGATTAAGGACATATTGTTTAGTGAATGCGTTCCCACTGGCGCATGCAGGAA